TAAATGGAATTTATTATATCAATAAACATAAAAGTAAAGGATTCAAAAGAGCTCTATCACATCTCATCTTTACAAAACCTGGAAACTTACTCAGTGACAAAAATATAATAGCAAACTATAACACGTCACACCACATCAGAGTTTAATATGCTGTGGTCTGTCACTGTGAGCTAAAGGTGTGCGTACAAACAGAAAAACAAATGAGCACAATGAAAGCAATGCAAACATCAAAATTCAATCATACTCCAAATTGAATTTTTATGCAGAATTCATCGTTTGCATTGTTTTCAATACAAACCGATTTTAATTATTTCTTAATTACATACTTAACTGCATGCATTTGTGCAGAGAGGGGAGAGTGCAGTTTAAATGTTCAATGTAATGTGTGTACTCTTATGTAAGCACAACTGAAATTTTACAACAAGGAATGACAAATGCATGAAATTTAGCTAGTATAGCCTGATTGAAAACAGCATAAAATATAAAACATACCAAACTAGGAGTCTCTGATATTGTAGATCACATAAATCTGCCCTGCGAAAAAGAGCTCTACCTCTAGCAGTCCCGATAAAAGCATCTAAAGCTACTACAAAGGAAGCTGACATAAGACAAAGGCTCAGGCACACAAACCAAAAAAAAAACCCTCCTCCACCTCACAGGGTACGTTATGACAGCATAAAAACTCTCATAAGCTGTAAATAAGAAGTCTGATGGTTTACAGAAATTTAATGAAATAATTGCTAAGACAGTTTTTTGAGGATTTTTGTGAAGAAACGTCTTACTTTTAAAAAGTTTTATTTTTTATTTCCTCTTTTTTCCGAGACGCTGAGAATAAAGTTTTATCCTTTAATTAAAAACAAACAATTAACAAACTTAAAATGTTAAACTATGTGTTTCAGATGTCTGAAACAAGCCTACAATAGAAACAACTTAACACATTTATAAATTCTCAAAAAAATTTTAAAATTTTCTTTCTCCTTGTCGCCCTTCTGTTTATGTTAAAGTAGTAGTAAAGGGCCTTTACACCAATGTGGAGATATGAATACGTAAAAACACTTTCGGGGTCACTGTGTGAGTAACGTAGTCGCACTTTCCGTGAACGTTTCTGTGAAATCAGAGACTAAAAATGAAACACTCATCAGTTTCATTTGGTTTGGAAGTTGTGTTTCAGAATTTGTTGCCATTTAAGAGAAACACACGATTTAAAAGAAATGCATTTTGTTGAGTGCTGAATTTGTCATATGTATTTGACATATATTACATGCAAATATGCTCTGAGCCTGGACAAGCTCGGGCACATTGTTTCTGGCCACTGATCACAAATGTTGATGGGGTTCTTTTTTTAAGCTTTTTTTTGGGGGGGGTAGACATGAGCTTAAGCTCTCTGTCACCACCAAAGATCAACCATCATCATGCAGTTTGACCAGATTTATTTCAGTGAGTAGTGTCTGGTTTTCTTATTTGTATATTTTGCAGTGTTTAACTTGTTATGTATTATTCATGCATGTGCACATGTCCTCACACATCAGTTGAAAGCTGTAAAACACTCTCTGGAATATGTTAAATTTATAAACTGCAAATTTAGATTAGATGACAATGTCATAGCACACAAGTAATGGACTTTGCATACATCCATTTAGTTTTGCCACAAAATTGAAAGACAGTGTCATAAAAGTTGATCAAATATACGTTTCTGTATTGCTTTAACTGAGTTGTGCACCAGTGTTTTGTTGCAATTGTTTGCTTCAGGCCTGAAAACTTAAAAACAATTCTAAAATGTGCTCAAGCAATCAAGAAAAACTGCAATAAGGACAAGAAATGCATATAAAATAAACAACATACATGAAATCCAAATTTTAAAACAGTTTTCACAGCAAGAAATTACAACACAAATATTGTTGTAAATGCACTCTTCTTGTTACTCATGTCAGGGCGACACATTCACACTTATTTCTAATTTAGAAAAGAAAAAGTTCTCTAAAGTGGCAACGGAAGATATGCACACATAGAAATGCCTTTGGAGACCACTGATGTTCAAACCAGAAACCTTCGTGCAGTGAGGTGACAGTGCTAACCACTGCCCTACAGCACCCTTTTATAGGTCTAATTTATGTTACTATCATATTTTTCAAAAGCAGACTCTATGCAAAGAACATAAAACTGACTGAACGTGCGGTGAAATAATAGTGTAGTCATGCTGTGCATCTTTTTGTCTTATGTCTGTTTACACAAACAAATCTCACTCTGGTTTTATTAGAACAGTAGTAGTGAAGAATATTGGTGCAGAATGCATGCCCAGAGACACAGCAGCAATTCACACCATTCATATAAAGCTCCTGGACTACGCAGTCTCGTCAAAATGAATGAAAAAAACAAACTGAAATTATGAATGAACAGCTACATGTTGATAGATAAGCTCCTGGCATGTCTTAACAAACCAAAAAAAGATAGCGTTTTATGACACTCATATCAGTGTTAAATCTCACTTTATATCATTTTCAAGATCAGCATTTCAAAGATTTAGTTACCTTCCCCCAAAACCTCAAGATATTTCTCACACCTTTTTTTTTCACTGTATTGCTCATGCTTTGTACGCAGCCACCAAACATGCAAAGATGACACCTGTGACAGAACTTGGTTTCAAATGTCTGTTTCCCCTTACCATTTACAAAAGCTTCAGATCGTGTTCCTGTTGTTTTTCACACCTTTCCTCGGCTGGTTGTGCAGCTCTTATGCAATTCATCTTAGAGGCAAATGGAAATGTAGGCACCTGTCAGAGAAAGAGAGAAAAGCACAGCTAGAAAGAAGTGTTCTGTTGTGACCCAGATTATACATTTTACAAAGCAGCATGCATGCCTGGCTTTTTTGGTTCATTCTGCAGTGGGATGCAGCACGCTGGAAACAGTGGGATTTAAACACAAGTCATTCAAATCTAACATAACATGACAACATTCTGATACAAACAAAAAGATATAATATAAACACACGAATACTACTTTTTTGTCTCTAAGAAACTAATTAAAACTTGTTTGTTCACCATAAAATCTGTGCTTCTAAACTGAGGTTTGTTTTTTTTAAGCTACAGTGAAACCATTGAGATGTTGTTTTGGGCAGTTTGAGGAACTGAGAGAAGAAAACTGGCAGTTTTAATTCCTAAAATCGTTTTTGTATTGCTACGTTTTAGCAGTAGTGAATCATTTCGTATAGCACATAGGAATCACAGTTCCAGTTTACAGGTTCAGTCACATCTGCTCACTGATGTAATACCATCGGCTTCGTGTGATGTTGATGGTGTGATTGGATGTAAGATAAGATTCACAGAAGATGAATAAGCCTCTTGGCAAGATTTTTCTTTAGCAACTGTTTGAACATTTGCAGAATGGCTTCAACTTGAACCACCTCTTCCTTTTGCTTAGGCGGTTAATTTGACCGCATTGTAGGTTAGTGTGCCACTAACCTGTGCCACTTGCTGAAAAAGGTTTCCGTTGTGTGACATTCAGTCTCAAAAAATATATTCACCCTTTCAGCTGTAGTTAAGTAAAACAGAGCTGAACAACAGTGCTGATGTCACAACAAATATGTACAGTTTATTTTGCAGATGGAAACGTGCAAAATCCTCCACCCTGTCACAGTCATGATGTATTCAGAAGTGAATTATTAATGAATCTCATTGCTAAATGTGTGGTTTTAAAGCTGCACCCTTAAAAACGCCCAACATTACAGTTACCATCAAATCAGTGCCATACACCCTACGTGATTGTCCATGATCATATGAACCATCTGGGCTGGCTGTCAGGGAACAATCATTAAACCTTAGTACCATCAGTCTAAGACACAGTACTAGACAACAGACAAAAAGAGTTGTAATGACCAAACAGTTAAAACTGGTTTGGTGTGACAGATGAGCCTCTTCTGAGCATTAATCACTTAGTTCTTCCATGGTGCACACGGGAAAATCAGTCCATCACACTTTACTGCTCTATTGTGAGCAGAGTAACAAAGCTAAGTTGAGGAACTCCTCCATAACCTGGTGTTTGGTAGAGCACAGCACATTACTCTTACTGTCTGCTCTTACTGATGGTCAGGCTTCAGCCTAATTGAGGAAGGCATCCTTCACCTGTCTGTGAACTTAGGATTACACGGAAGACAAAGTTTTGCAATGTCTCAAAGTATCATTTTCACAGTGAATAGTGGGAGGAGGTGTTCTATGTGCATGTTGCACGCTCAGCTCTGGGGCATCCCAGGCAGGAAATACAAGGCGCTGAAAGGTCAGGTTGAGCTGTTTTCCTCTTCCCGAGCAGCAGGCAGCAGATTGGCAGGATTTTATAAAATTGCAGTGTTTGCAGTGATGTTTGTTCTATATTTGACCAAAAGGGCCAAAATCCTCTCATCTGTCACTGCCGTGCTTTGAGAGCAGCACATAAGGATCAGATTTGGTGCATTAAGCTGTGTGGCTGCTTCACGGCCACAACAGATTTCTAAAGTCTCAATAAGCATGTGCATCAAAGCCTCATGAGGCAGAATGTGATATCAAATATTTCCAAACTGGGGAGTGCTCAAAGTAAGAAGTTTTTCTCTTTATTTTTTGGTTTATTTTAGTTTTCCAAACAAACAAAATCATTTCAGGAGTTATAATTTTTTTCCCCTCAGAATCTATTTTTCATGTTTTTTCCTTAATTGACTGAAAAAACGAAATATTTCACATCTAGTTTTAATTCATGTTAAAAACCTTGCTGTCTATATAGTGTGCATTCCCAGTTCCTATTATTTCACCACATATTCAGTCAGCGCTAAAAGTTGGAAACTACTTTTGGTCTTTTCAAATTATGAATTTTTATTGAGTTTTTATTATTATTATTCGCCTCTGTCAGTGCGCCCCAGGGCAGCTGTGGCTACAATGTAGCTGCCATGGCCAGTGTGTGAATGTGTGTGTGAATGGGTGAATGACTGAATGTAGTGTGAAGCGCTTTGGGGTCCTTAGGGACTAGAAAAGCGCTATACAAATGCAGGCCATTTACCATTTATTAATACCAGCCAATCAGGACTGACACTGTGAGATTTAGGCTCAAACCCTTCAGGTTTAACTACTCTGAGGGCTTTCAAAAATGACAAACAACACTTTAGATAACAGTCTAAAAAAGTTGTTTAAAAACAGACAGACAGTAAAATTGCCTGTTTAAAAGTTAGATTTTCTCCAGTTCATCAAGTGAGAAAGTAAAATGTTCTCTCTCAACTTACTCCCACACACTGATAGAGTGAACTTAGTTGCCACTAACTTGTGGAGGAGTTACTCAAGTGTGAGCTCAGGCTGGTATACTATCATGTGCATGTGCCAAAGGCGTGGTACCGTCAACTTCAGGTATCAGATGAGTCAGAATAGTTGCACGTCTCTCGTTGTCATTTCTTATGGCGATGCTGTCCCGGTTGAGGCATTCCCTCTGATAACACTTGAAACAGGTCATATCATCCTCATCCTCTGGAGTTCTGGCAAAGAGGCTGTAGCTTGAACTGATCAGTACAGGGTTTGGATCATCAGGTGGAGCACTTTGTCCATTTTCTCCTTTTTTCTTCTTCTGCTGGGTTCTGATGGTATTCTCAGTGTGAACGAGATGGTGTCTTGCATTACATGGCTGCTATGGCCTCCCTGTATGCCCTCTCTCAATGCCCTGCCCCGATCTCATCATCGCCTCAATCACAATCTTGATGTAGGAAATTTGCTAGGACCTTTTGCAAATGATGAGTCAAGACTTTTCTCTTGAGCTTCTCCTTTCCCTCTGTTCCCGCATTCTGCTTCATATTTCCACAGATGTAATGTCTTTTCAGTTTCTTTTCTTCTTTATTCTATGATCTATTTTTTTCCTTCCAAATAAATTAGCTCATGCTGAGTGTTCCTCTCTGTGGAGCCCCAAAGTTTTTTACCCAAACATACGTAACACTTATAGCACCATCACCATATTTTCCCCTCATATAAACAGCATCCACCTCTTCAGTCTTCAGTGGGATTTTCTTTACCAGACCTATCCCCATGCTCACAAATGCTTAATTCTATCTATCTGGCACATTAATTTCTATCAATGTCACCTCAAATCCAAACTGTCTTTCGCTACAACCAGGCAAAACAGTCACAACAGACTTAAACGTTCGGAAAACCCTTGTCCTCAATTTACTTTCCCATTGAGAAAGTACTCTTTGTTCCCTGAGCACTGAATTTACTCAGCCTTGTGATGACAAATCTCTAGACCAAAAGCGGGCAATCCGTTTTTGTGCGGGGGTTTTGTTTGTTTGTTGTCTTTTCCCCAAAGAACTATCACAATTTATTTCACATATCTGACCTCTGAGAACAACATTTCTGGATACACAATGGGAATACATCTAGGGTCTACACTGTTTGGCCTTTTTGTGTCTCAACTATGGAAGGTAAAGCTAAAAAAAAATAGATTATTCCAGTATGATCTGTCTCTGTCCATCTCACACCCCTCATTCAATCAACCAAGGCGTCAATGCTGAAGCTTGTTATGGAAATCTGAAATAAACCTCAAACAGTCAGTTTGAGTTTGAATTTACTTTGCAAAGGGATCAGCCAACAGCACAGCATGCATACTCCTGTCATGCATACATGACAGGAGTATGCATGCTATACAAAGAGGTATCGTAAGTCTAGATTATGTGTCTATCTGCCATGATCACAGTATAAAGTCAGTGTGCAAAAGATACTTTACAGCTCAACATGTGGTATATCTGAAAGATCACGCTGAGAAAGAATAAGACTGTAGGGAGCTTCTCACTGAGTAGGTTCAGCTTTACACAGGGAAAAAGAGAATCTTAAAATTTTCCATCACAGTATGCATTGGGGTATTAATAAAGTCTGTATGACTAAGCCCAGTAGCCCCTGGTTACAGTGGCTTAATATAACATACAGCAAACAAAACACTTTCTGAAGTTGCATCAGAAAGTGCTCGGACTCTTTCACTTTCTGCATAACTTGTCTTACAGTTTCTAAATGTCTCAAATGACTTGCATAAATGGCCTAAAATTCATGAACCATAAATAACAATGAGAATATTTTTTGTGTTTTTTATAGAATTGATTAAAAGTCAAAATATGAAATTGCTCACTTAATAAAAACTTAAGACCTTTAAATTCGCATATCTCAGAAATGCACACGTAGATTTGTGCAGTTTATCCCCACTCAGCGTGGCGCATGCTCTCGAGCTCTGTCAGAAATGTGTGAACTGGACTCTTCACAGATACTCTGGGGGGTGGAAACCTTATCTGAACCAAGTTCCTGAGGTTACTTCAGTAATATCTTTTGCTTTGGGTCATTAAAATGCTGAAAGCTAAACCATTGCCCTATTCTCAGATCACATGCACTGTGGGAAAGGTTTTCTTTGAGTACCTCTGTGTGGGACTACATTCGTCTTTTCTTTAGTTCTGGGCAGCCTCCCTGTGCCTCTGCCGAGAAGCGCTGCCATACTACAGTGCTAAGGCTCGAGGATGGTGCTAGTCCAGGGGATATGTGGACTACGTGTTTGGCAAAAAAAGGTTCCTGGAGTTTGACTCATATTCAGTTGTGTGTCTTCCCAGTTCAGATGCTGATTTTTTCCTTATGCGCTCACTTTACATTTAAGTCAAACCCTCACCACAGTCTCCAAGTAGCTGATTGCCAGAGGAAGCAGAGAAATACTGAACCTCTATTACAGCGATGCGTTGGGCTCTTGATCACCTCCCTGACTCAGGCCCTTCTTGCTTTATTTCCCATGTTAGCCAAATGGTCAACTCTAGATGGAGTCCAGTCCAGACACAGTATGTGATTTGGTTATGCTTTTGTAAAATAATGTAATTTTCCACTGCATTCAGGTTCTGCCATCTGTTCACAGCTTTATTAACAGCAAAAAGTATTTTTTAATGTTGAGGTTGTCAGAAAAAGAGCATTAGTTTCACAGCAAATGTTTGTTTGTTGGTTGGTTAAATGAGGACTTTCTGAAGCCTCTTTACAGTTTGTTGTCCAAAATACCAAACTTGCACTGAATTGTTGCTACTGGGAGCTTCACTGTTTTGGTTCCTTTTTAAAACGTTACCAAGATTGTTCAAAAGACACACATACAAACCAAACCACACATTTTCCACACGCTGTCACTGTCCTTCTAAAAGGAATTTTTCTCTTTTATTTGTTTTCTTTTACTTGTTGTTGCAGAATTCACAGTGTCTCTGAGTTTGGTAACTTTACCGTGCTCAGTGGTTTTCAAGTATTTTGAGGCAAAAACACACTAAAGGTTAAACTGGATTATTCACACCTGCCAAAAACAAAAAAACATATCTTACCCACAGAAGAACAGTGTCATCAGTTATTCTCTTAACTGTAAACACTTTCCTTAAAGCAACACCATCATCATCACTTCATCATCAAATTTTCTACATTTCTGGTAACGGTCTCTTTGTCGCAAACAGACGAGTAAGTTAAAGGCTGAGTTTAACTCATTTACTCACAAAGACAGAAAACACACATTAATAAAAGTCAAAGATGTTTTCACTGAAAAACTCTCCTTGTTATTTTTATTCAAATTTCCAGTGGATAATGCAGGAATATTCATTTCACCATGATGGAAGTGTAGTAAAAATCAGATATAGTGAAAGCTTTTGTTCAGCTCAAGCCTTTCCTTTGAGAAGCCAAGTTTCTCTCAGAAAGGATGGGTTAGGTTTCCTTTTCAGCTTGCTTGGCACCATGTCAGCCAACTTCTCCCCACAGTGGAGCCATTTAGGCTGAAACTATGGCCAAGCTAAAAACTCTGTAGTTAGTAGATTGTGTTGGCTGCTTGTGTTTTGCTTTAAAACAAAAGCAGTCCCCCACCACCACCACCACCCTCGCAGCTTTTTGTTTTCCTCATCGACACCAGTGAGGGCCTTTGATGTGCACTAATGGTAAATGCAACTGCAGTTAAAGGGAAAGTTTACAAGATGTTGGTGATGGTTTGGAGATGATGGCACACATAAAACAGAAAGGAGGCAGAGCTGGAGTTGACAGCTCCATTTAAGCATTTTGGAGACAAAGTAAGAAAAGCAAGACTGAGATGATTTGAACTTGTGCAGAGGAGGAATAGTGGATATATTGGGAAAATTATCTTAAATATGGAGCTGCCAGGCAGGAGGAAAAGAGGAAGACCACAGAGAAGATTCATGGATGTAGCAACCCCTAAGGGGACCAGCTGAAGAAAGAAAGCTTTATGGTCAGTTGCAACGACAATTTATGGTTGAAGCCACATTTTAAGGGGCACACCTTTGGGGAACTACTCTTTAACAATCACCACTCAGAGTACGTCACGCAGTGGTGCTGCAGTGCCATCTGTTGGATGCCCCGCTATCATCTCTCAGAACAGTGTTTTGTAAAACAAATCTACTGTATGATTGCATCAGTGTGACTAAAGGATTGATGGTCCAAACAACGCAAAGACTGTTTAATAAACTAAGATAAACAGAGGAAACCAGATTAAGTGCAAAATCCTGCTCCAGCTCTTTTATAAACTTTAAGCAGCAAACAGGAAAATGTTTTAGATTCTTCACTGGCAAGTAAAAATAAAGAGAAAATATACAAAAACAATGTGCTTGTGTGCTGCAGTTATGTATCTTCATAGATTATGCTTGCCTGGTTTAAGAATCGGTTAAGTCACCTTAAGTTATTTCTACTGCACAATGACAGCTGCTGTGTTATCTGAGCTTCCAGGGAGACATGTTGGTACTCCATGATGTACATCAAAATATGAGGCAAAAGTAAAGGAAACACAAAAAGTAATAAAACCATCTCTAATAATATTTATTCATTGTGACAGCCTCAAGCGGCCTAAATGTACAAAAACTGTCATTCATTTGGGAAATGCATAGTGGGCATGCCTTTTTATAAATCTATGCCGTAGTTCATAGGTTTCATTTCTCCTTTCACTGGGGTGAAAACACCTTCTGTTTTATATGGGACCGCAACACATTTTTGTCCTTTGCTCTCCCCATACTGAAAAAATGTTCTACATTTTGATTACCTTTAATTTTTGAAAATCAACACCCACCGTAAGGGAAGATAGTTTACTAAAATCTGCCTGCAAAAGCACCAAAACGTTTCACTGTGGGTCTCCTGCAGGCTAAAGTGTTATTTAGTTTCCATGCTGCAGCAAAGTGGAAAAATGTTTGTCACTGCAGATTTCAAAGGTTGTGCAGATTTCTTTGGAATAGGCTTTAAAAAAAAAAAACCACAAAGAGAAAGAAAGACAGCCACAAGAATTGCAAACATCCAGTGGGTGAAACTTGCTGACAGTACCTGGCACAGGGTTTTCCCCTGTGGTGACACCTATCTGTCAGTGTCATGAGAAAGCTGTCGCTCTGAAAGAAATGTGCTAGCAGATGGATGGATGGCACCATCTCTGAAACCTGAACTGAAATAACAGCAAGGAGCTCATATAAATGTTACTGGGACAAAATGGAGAATGCATGAAAGTAAAACTATGATCGAAGGAAAAGAAGAAGCCTCATGTTCCTTTAATCGCTGGTCTGTTTCAGACCACAAAAGGAACATCGAGTCCCACCTGTCCAGCAACAACACACGAGAGGTGTGGCAGGGAATGCAAGACATCATCAACCACAGAGGCAGCACTGCGAAAACAGAAAACCCGAGTGGGCAGCTGGCAGAGGAAATAAACAGCTTCTTCGCCCGCTTTGAAACACCACAACAGCAGCACTCATCTGCTTCAGCCCTGCTCCCATCCTCATCCTCACCTGGTTCCTGCACCGCTCCACTCACTGTAACGGAGCACGATGTCAGACGTGTGCTCCTAAAAGTGAACCCCAGGAAGGCGGCCGGTGCAGATGGAGTACCTAGCAAGGTACTAAGAGCATGCGCACACCAGCTCACTCTCATCTTTACCAGACTCTTCAACCTCTCACTGGATCAGGCAGCCATCCCATCCTGTCTAAAATCAGCCACAATCATCCCAGTGCCGAAGAAGTCTCCCATCTCCAGCCTGAATGATTACCGCCCTGTGGCCCTCACACCGGTAATCATGAAATGTTTTGAGAGACTAGTCCTTCAGCACATCAAGGATTACCTCCCCCCAGAATTCGACCCCCACCAGTTTGCATACCGTGCAAACAGATCCACAGAAGACGCCATCGCCACAGCCCTCCACGCTGTGCTGAGTCACCTAGAGCAGCGGCAAAGCTACGTCCGAATGCTCTTTGTGGACTACAGC